CGCCACCGCCTGGTCCCACCAGCTTCTGGGTCACCCGGGCCTTGGTTGCCAGCCACTCAGCCCGTGTTGCCCTCCTGGCCCTGCCACCACCCTGGCCACACGCAGTGCCACAGGGTGCAGTGCCAGCTAGTGAGGCGCTGGCACAGCTAGGCCAGTGTTGGGTGATCCTGTCCTTCCTCCGTGGGCCTGGGCACCGGCTAGCCACCACCGGCAGGTCCCCTGGCTGTCCGGAGTCCCTCATGCCCCAGTCCTGTGCTGCCTTGCCAGCCTCCGCCACTGTCTCCTCCTTTGGTTTTTGACCGAGGTCCCCTGCGTGTCCCCACAGCTGCTCATCCCCGTCCTTGCCGCCCTCTCCGTGCCCATCTAGCATCAGTCTTTTGCCAGCGACTCCCTGGGGGGCCTCGTCTGTCCCTGCTCCGGGCTTTGGCTTTTGTCTCCCGTTCCATCTGGCACCCAGTGTGTCCTGCAGCTCCTGGACCGGAGCAGCAGTGAGCTGGGGGAAGGTGCTTCGGGCAGGGGAATGGGAGCAGCCAGGAGCAGCAAGGCGGGAGGGCGCGGCTGCTGGGGGGTGTGGGGTGGGGCAGCAGCACTTGGGCAGGGCTGCGCTGGTACTTTAGGCTCTGGCAGCAGCTGGCTGCAGCTTTTATCGCCTTGGGGCTGGGCGAGTGCTGTTCTTCCCCCTGCTTTGGCCACTGGATATTTTGCTTCTGCCCAGATTCCAAGTCCCACCAGCATCACAGGACAGGCGCCTGCCCCTGCGTCTCTCACACAGGTCTTGACAGTGGGGGCACCTGGGGCCCACGCAGCGAAGTCCTGCTGGGCAGGAACATCTAGCTCGCCTACAACTTTGACAGGTGATATCCTCCACTCGGTAAGGGTTGTAAGATTTCTGACAGGTTCTACAAAACTGTTTGAATAAACCTTGTTCATGCCCTGAACACACCACACATACGCACTCTCCCAGCAAATGTTGCAGTCTTTGCAGTGATCATAGCCATAGTTTTGCCGGAAGCTGCGGTGCTTCTTGCCTGGTTCTGCACCCAGCAGTGACCTCTCCTGCGCAGTGGCAGTCGCGTCCCCAGCCACCACAGGCTGCTTTGGCCTCTGCAGCGTGGCCTCTGGGGCCGCCTCTCTAGTCTGAGCCTCCTGCTGCTCCCGCCTGCCCCTTGGTGGTGAGGACGCCTTCCTCGCTGCCCCTCATCCCCCTCCATCCTCCTCCGGGGCCACAAGGCCCTGCATGCTTGCTTGGGCCTCCTCCAGGCAGCTGGTGAGGCAGTGGGGGTGCAGGAATCATGGATGGCCATCTGGGGTTCCTGGGTCCCGGGCCCTGCACAGCGGCATAAATACATTTATAATCTGTACTATGTGAAAAATAACCACACACATTTTTGTATGTAGAAGTAAATCACATACCCATCAGAGGAGAAAGAGGCTGCAGGTCCCCCTCCTGGAAGCCTGGGGAGTTTTGGACAAGGCGTCTTCTCTCCTACCCTGGCTGTGCAGGATTGGGGCATGGGCCCTGCAGACTGCGCATTGTGGATGAGGGCCAGCACCAGACAGGCTGGTGGGGCAGCATTTTACCTTTGAACCTAAGTTTTTAAAATAATGGTGTAGGGGTTGGGGATTTAGCTCAGCAGCACAGCACCTGCCTGGCAAGTGCAAGGTCATGAGTTCGGTTCCCAGTACCGGAAAAAAACAAAAACAAAAAACCAAAAAAATAAAAAATAAAATAAAATAATGGTGTATTCATCGCTCCTATAAGATTTTTAAAGACAAATACAAAATTATATGACATCAACCTTGTTTTTAAACATGTGTACGCCTGAGAACCCTGGAATTACCTGACCAAGTGCCCTGCTCCAGCAGTGCTGCCCTGCTCCTGGGGTCCTCAGCACGGCCACAGCGGTGACAGCAGACAGACTGACCTAACTGACGAAGAGACCCACACCAGGAGAGCTGCACTGCAGGACTTCAGTGTTGCCTACCAGACACCGGTGAGACAGCCATGAGGATGAGCTCGGAGAGGGGAACCCTAAAGAAGGCTCTCCCGGGACCCTGAGGCCTGGGAGCAGACTTGGTGCTGGCAGGCCTGGCTTGTGTGGGAGGCAGGCTTCCAGTGGCTCACCAGAGCGGGTGGTGCCGAGGAAAAGGTGGCTCTGTGCTCCAGCACTGCTGCCCACACCCAGCGAGCTGAGGTGCTATGGGGCCACGTGTGGGTGGCCGAACTGTCCTCACTAAAACCAATCTCAGTTGTGGCTAAAGGATGTTCAGGAGTGGTCCAGGGCTTTGTCAATATCCAGCTGACATCTGATGCCATCGATTCCACTGGACTTAGTACTACTGTCAAAGGAGCATAGCAGTGCATGACAACTGGTTTTCTCTCTCTGCCAGTATCTGCATTTCTTGGAGATCAAAAACAGTAAGAAATGGATATACAGTAAAACTTTATTAAATACAAGTAATTTATTCTGCAAGTATTCCACACAATGAGCAACAGTTTCTACTTTTAGCTTGGGAGGCGAGCGGTGTCTTTTTTTTTTTTAAAGAATAAAAGAAGGATAACATAATAATAGGGGGGACTTACCAAATTACAGACAAAATGGTAGGAAATTATCAATGGTTATTGTTTTACATATTGTTATCTACAAAATAGTTTCTCAGGAAAACAAATAGACAAGTA